CCTCTCTCTCTCTCTCTCTCTCTCTCTTTCTCTCTTCCTCTTCCTCCTCCTCCACTTTCACTCCGCTTTCTAGATCTTAACGCGTAATTTTTTTTAAATATGTTTTTGTAGGGGGGGTGGAGGGTGGTTGCTCTAGTGTTGTCTGCATTGTTTACTTCTTCGTTGTCGTAACTTTTTGCCTGTTCAGCAGCGCCGAAGTGAAAGCAATTTTGCTTGTGCCGTTAAGGCCGTAAAACATTTACGTGGGTGGTTGGCGGGTGCTCTGGTGTGGTTTGCTTCGTATCAAACGTCTATCGTCTTTATCTCCCCTCTTTCTTTTTGGTGTTTGTTACTCTCTTGTAGCACCTCTAATCTTCGGCACTTTTATAACCTTATTGTGTTGCAAGTGCCGTAAAACTCTTACTAAAAGAAAACAAAAAACAAACATTTACAATCATTACGATCATTACCATAAGCGAAATGTCGCCAGTTGTCTGTTGTCGAAGCAACCTGCCGTAAACTACCGCAGTTTCTATTCGGAGACGTCTCCAACGGAGATAGACCAATCAAAATGCTTTGTGCCTTTAGACCAAGTAAAACAATCTGGGGGTTACACATACCTCCCTGTTGTAACCCATAATTTGATATTGTGTCGTTAGGTTTGAAATTTTATTGAAAATACTTAATTTGCGACAGTTTTAGTAGCTAGATCTATATATGTGTGGTCTGCAGCAAACGATACGCAGTTTGACCCCCAAGAGCAATGCATCTTCTGCCGTAAACTTCAGTTCAGCTCGATTGTCGATTGATGTTTCTTCTGTCTCCCGCTACTTCCTTTGTTTTTATTCCTTTTAAAAAAATATTTTTTCATGGGTGGTTGGCGGGTGCTCCGGTGTGGTGTGCCGCTTCTTCTTTCTTATCAAACATCTGTTGTCTTTATCTCCCCCTCCTTCTATTTTGTGTTTGTTACTCTCTTGTTAGTTACATCTCGAATCTTCCGGCACATATTATATGACCTTATTGTGTTGCAAGTGTCGTAAAACTCTTACAAAAACAAATATTATTTTGTAGTGCTATACTTCTTTTACTACTGCTGTCTTTTG